CCTACTCCCCGAAGTCTTTCCGTTTTCGGATGAGCGAAGTAGGACTGGTCGAGGCGATCCAGTCCAAGCACCCAGGGTCCCATCAGGCCACTTACCAGCGGAACCTCCGTGGGTATCCGATTGACGGTATCTTTGCGATGCCTGACGTGCCCATCCTGGCCGCCGGATACTACCCTTTTGACGAACATGTCGCCTCCGATCACCGTGGCCTGTGGATCGACTTTGACTTGCACAGTCTCCTCGGCGGACACCAACCTACGAAACCCACCCATGTTCCACGCCGGCTGGTGATGCACAACAAATGGGTGGTTCAACGATATGTCCAATTGGCGGAGCAGGGTTATATGCGGTACAATATTCCGGGTCGTCTCTCTACCCTAGGATTCGAAGTTGCCCGACAGCAGGGCGTCATCACCAAATCCCAGGCGGTCAGATTCGATCGGATACACGCTGATGCCTACACAGTTCGACGGTTGGCGGAGCAGAACTGCAGGAAGTTGTCGATGGGCGGGGCAGAATGGTCTCCTAAAGGCCAACCCATTCGGGATCGGATCACCTTGTGGCGCCTTCTCCTCAAGGGCCGACGTCAGTGCCGGGTGAGCTCCAGGAAGGTTCGCCGCCTGCTGCTCAAGACGAACGAGCCTTTGGCCTGGAAGTTGACCACAGCCGAACTTGAGTCCCATCTCACCCAAGACCTTGGTCAATATAGAGACGCCAAGAGGGGCCTCACTTCTAAATGGCGGAAGGCTCATGTCACTACTCGTACCCAGAGCATTGCTAAAGTCCGCCACAAGACGGCAAGCCAACGAGAACGATATCACCGCTTAAGGTCCATGAAGCAACGCGAGGAGACTCGTCGGAGGCGCAAGGCTCGTTCCTCCGGTTTGTCTGGCGGTCTAAGGGCCATTCAAGTCGAACTGGAGGACAGCTCTGGCAATTGTCGGTTACAGACCATTACTGACCCGACGTCGGTTGAAGATGGATGCATGCAAGAAAATAGGGCCAGGTACCAACAAACCCAGACCCCACATCCAACTCCTCCCATGTCTGAGCCTCTCTACACTATGTTCACGGGCCCTGACGCCGACAACAACCAACAACTTCTTCTGGAGGGCAAACTCCCCATCCCTGGTGGCCTGGCTTACCCTACCCAAGCCTTCCTTCGCCACTGTCGACTGCACGACAGTTACCGGCCTCGTCCTTTCCCCTTGACGGTTGAAGAGCTCGTGGACTTTTGGAGTCGCACTCCTGAGAACAAGGGTTCTGAGCCCCACGGCCTCCATAATGGCCACTTCAAGGCAGGCGCCCTCTCGGAACTGTTGGCTTCTTGTGATATGGCGTTTTGGGACCTTCCACTCCGTTCAGGCCATGTTCCGGAACTCTAGAAGAACCTGATGAACTTTGCAATTGAGAAGAAGCCTGGTGACTTCCGCCCACAAGGGATGCGGACCATCCAGCTGTTCAACTCGGAGGCTCAAGCCAACTACAAGAAAGCGGGTCGGGTTGCAATGAAGAATGCTGAAGAGGATGACATCATCCCTAAAGGACAGTGTGGGTCACGGAAGCAGCACCAGTCCATTGATCTCGCCCTTTCCAAACGATTGATCTGGGACTCGATCATCCTGGAACGACGGTCTTCCGGCTGGATCTCGAACGACGCGAAGTCTTGCTTCGATCGCATCGTTCACTGGGTGGCGAAGACGGCCTTGCGGAGATTCGGCCTGCCGGTCACTGTCACCAACCTAATGTTCGATATCTTGGCAAAGGCTAAACACAGGGTCCGAACTGGCTTTGGAGACTCGGATCGGACCTTTGGGCCCACTGGCGATGTTCCCTTCCAAGGCTGCGGCCAAGGCAACGGCGCCGGCCCTTGCATCTGGGTTGCCATCAGTGCCATCCTCATTGACGCCATGGAGGCCGAGGGATTTGGGTACAAGAGCCGAACTGCCCTCACCAACGAGGAGTTCTTCGCTTCGTGCTTCTGCTTTGTTGATGACACCGATGTCATGGAGTCCAACGACAACGTGGAGACGACTGGCGAAGACCTCCTCCCTTCGGTACAATCGGCTTTGGACCTTTGGTTGGGTAGCATCAGTGCCACTGGTGGAGCTATCTACCCGGCGAAGTCCTTCTGGTGGCTGATTGATTTCAAATGGCGGCCGTCCTCTGGCACGCGGGTGTTTCGAAGGAAGGCTGAAATGCCTGGCAAACTGACCCTCCAAGACCCTACTGGGCCGTGGGCGACACTACGACGCCTCCAACCCGATGAAGCTGAACGGACCCTGGGGGTCATGATGGCCCCACTTGAGACCGGAACTGCACAACACCTTGCCCTGCGGGAGAAGGCCAAGAACTGGGCAGCCAAGTTCCGTCCCCAACACCTACTTCGCTATGACGTTCTTCCCTTGCTCAAGGCAACCGCCTTGAAAACTTTGGAGTACGTGATGCCCCTTTCCACACTGGGCCGCTCCGACTGGGTGTCCATCATGTCACCGATCCTCCAAGCGAGTTTGCACAAAGCTGGGGTTTGCCGTTCCTTTCCCCGCGTCGTGGTCTTTGCCCCTCTGAAGTACCAGGGATTGGGTAATTGAAAAAGAAAAAAAAAAGGCGGAATGCTTTGTTCCGGTTGGAACCGTCCCCAGCGAGGGCCATGGCAGTATGCCTTCTGCCAAAGAGCAGCAAGAAGCGGAAGGCTTCGTTCCAGTTGGAACCGTCCCCAGAGAGGGCCAAGGCGGTATGCCTTCTGCCGAAGAGCAGCAAGAAGCGGAATGCTTCGTTCCCGTTGGAACCAGCGCGATCGATCTCTCGTCCAAAACCGGTTCGTCCAATCTCCAGATAATGTATCCTGCTCAAAAATACTCGTACAATCCTCCACATGAATCGTTTTCTCCACAAGATGAACAAAACTTGCACTCCTCCACATGAATCGTTTTCTCTACAAGATGAACAAACCACTATCCCTCCAGTGGAATTGCTTCTGATTGTAATCAGCTCTCCCACCATGAAGGATACGGACGCGTAGCCTTCTTTACTCCTCTTTCAATCTAACCTTTTTAATCAATACTTTTCTACAATTGAATCATTCATACACAAGGAATGAATAAAAGTATTGTTCAATCCAGGCCCATGAAGAGAACAAAGAACGATTCATGAACATCTATAACAACTGATTCTAATGTTAACCCTTGTGCGATGACTGTTTCTAAAGCTTTCAATCATTCTCACAAATCTGTCGAGTTTTGAGATCCACTTTTTCCACAGTTTATTTGGTATTGGAAAATCGACGGCAAAACACAGACAGCTTTCGATTCCCAGAAAAGTCTTCACACAACATCATCTAAAACATTTTGCGACATATGGATCTGACGACACTTTTGATGCTTCTAGCAATAAAGTGGACGCTGGATCCGTCTCCCAATTCAATGAATTCAGCACCTGATGGCATACTCGACAACGCATTGTTCCTTCATGGAAAACGAAATGTTTACTCTTGTGCATTGCTTGCTGAAACAGTTTTGTTCAATGATTTACGATTTGAATTTTACTGCTAAAATCTCACTTTCTGCACGTTGAAAATATACAGCAAGTTTTCTCGCGGCAAATCTTCATCAAAAACGTTTTGCCTGCATTTAAATATATTCCGGAAATATCAGACTGTTTCTCGCGTTAAATTGAGTAGCGAGGTACGAGAGATTTGGGACGAAAACGAGTACGATGACAAACATGGGGATTTTACAAGATGTGTGCGAATCTCTAGGTTAAACTATCTAACGTACGAATGACGGACACTC